TTTACAAAGTTGGGTGTTTGTGGTGTTAGCATAAATTAGTAATACCCCAACGATGTGCATGTTATTAAAATTTCACATCTCTAGATAACCTTCCTGAAAATTAAAACATCATTTCTGATTCGAATAATCGATAAAAGCACCAACTAACTCTATAGTTGTCCATAAATCTGATTGATTCTGACCAAGAATTTTGTTGTACAGCTTCCGGTGATTATAGAATTGGTGAAGAGATTGTAGTGGTAAAGCAACTGACTGGTAATCAGGAGATGCTAGGATTGTTCTCTAGCCCAAAATCAATGATCCTTCTTTACAAGTTTTTCGTGCTTGTAGAGACATATCACGTGGTTATTTGTTCATTTTCTTAATATACATAACTTCGTGGACAAGTAATATTAACAGTTCATTTTATCTCTTTTCTTTTCTTCTTTTCAAAGTCACCCACACCCTCAACTATTTTGTAGAAAGAAAAATTACGCTATTCATATTTTTTTTTCTATTGCACTCCTGCAGCTTGCAGCACTTACTCAGTTGCTTTTCATCAATTGAATAAAAAGTAATTTTTGAATGAAGGTTTTTTTCGTTCTTACAAAACTATTTTTTTGTATTGACTATATAAAAGCGTGCACATTGGATGCTTTAATAGAGGAAGCTTCAAACAGTACAGAAAAAATCTTATGGCAACCACTGCAGAGAATTTATATAGTCCACCCAATAAGAAACTACGACGAACTGTTTCAGAATCGCAAACGACTGACTTCTCGCAAAACGTCCTGAACACCTTCATTACTCGTTTAATAAGTGATTACCATACTCAAAATTTAGAAGACTGTATTGTGATTTGGCTGGATGCTAATGCTGAGAAGAAACCGAAAAACTTTGAACAGACAAAGACACGAATACGACGTATCGTTAACTATCTAAAATCATTTAATGATGTGGATGAATGTATTGCTTATATAACTAGTGTTAAAGATGAGAAAATATTTTTCATCGTTTCGGGTAAATACGGTAAAAAGATTTTACCAGTTATTCATGATTTATCGAATATCGAATCGATATATATTTTCTGCTTGGACAAAGATAAGCACGCTGTATGGTCCGAAGAATTCACCAAAGTTCGAGGAGTTTTCGTAGCAAGAGAGCCATTACTCGTACAGCTAACGAAAGATATTTCTGACTACGTAGATCGGACCCCTATAACTGTAATTCAAGGCAGCACAACACAAGATTTGAAAAATGAACCAGGAAAGTCTATGTGGTTTCACATATTACTATATGTGTTGTTACATTTACCTGATTCAGCAACCGCTAAAACCGATCTGATAAATGAGTGCTTGAACCAATACAGGGACAATAAACTTGAACAGCGAAAAATTGAAGAATTTGGAAACCAGTACAAATGCGAAGATGCAATCCGTTGGTATACGCGCGATTGTTTTGTCTATCGACTTATTAACAAAGCTTTACGAACTGAAAATATTGATCGCATATTTCTATATAGATTTTTTATTATCGACTTGTATAAGCAACTTAAGCGTTTACATGATGAGCAATTTGCGGGTAAGCAAACTTTAACGTTATATCGCGGTCAGAACATGCATGTTGTCGACTTTGAAAAATTACAAAATAATATAAATGGTTATATTTCGGTGAACACATTCCTGTCTGCCACATCGTCCTCGATTGTAGCAAGTGACTTTAGTGGATACTTGGCAGTACACGCTGACTCGACTTTAAGATCAGTCATATTTGAAATTAATGTTGACTCGAGCATTAACAAAAGTAAACCTTTTGCACGAATAAACGAACTCAGCTTTAATAGTGACGAAGACGATTATCTTTTCACAATGGGAACAATTTTTAAAATCCTATCAGTTGAACAATTCACTGGCGAAATATGGTATGTAACACTGGAGATGGTTAGTGAGGAACATGAACCCTTGAAAAATCTATTTGATGATTATAAAGCATCCCTCGATGAAGAGTCTTCACTATTGCCGCTTGGCGAACTTTTATCAGAAGGATTAGATGACTGTAAGAGGGCTCGTCATTATTACGAACTATTAATTCGAGAATTGCCCGAAGACGATATAAATGTTGGATACGCTTATTCTAGAATTGCAGTTACGCTGGTCGGTGAGGGAAATAATGAAGAAGCTCTGTCTCTTTTCAAGAAAGCCAAGAAAATATATTCGAAAGCATTGACTGAAAAAAAGCAATATTATTTAGCTGAGTTCTACATCGATTTGGCAGGTCTGTGGCAGAGTCAAAACAATTACAAGAGAGCTTTAAAACTACGAAAAAAGGCTCTCAAAATCCGGAAAACTCTATATTCAGAAGATAACATAGCCTTAGCTAATACATACAAGGCATTAGCAAGTACTTATCATGAACTCGATAAACTCTCAATTGCAGTTAAGTACTATAAAAAGTCAGATAAAATAAATCAACAAAAACTCCCAGAAAATCATCCTGCTATAGCTTCTACGTTGAGGAGTTTAGGTGATGTTTATAATGACCAGGGTAATTACAATGAGGCTAGAAAATATTATGAGCAAGCACTTCATATACTACTTGAATCGATGCCAACTAATGGTGTTTCTATAGCAGAATGCTATTTGTCATTAGGAAGACTTTGTTCAAATTTAGATGAAAATCAAACTGCTTTGAAACACTTTAACAAAGGTCTGGCAATTGTACTAAAATCTCGATCTGAAAACGATAGAAATTTGGTTCAAGTGTACACTCGTATCGGATCAGCATACAAGAAGCTAAAATATCCAAATACTGCTTTAAAGTACTACAAGAAAGCACTAACCATTATCGGTGAACAGTCTAAACCTTACTTAAACGATCTTCTCGAGACGTACTGTCACTTATTATACTTATATTTCAATCAAGACAAATACTCTCAAACACTAAAATATTGCAGAAAAATTTTACAGCTGAGAAAATTTTGTCAGAACAAATGCATGAATTTTTTTGCACAAGCCTACGGTATGTTAGGACATGTTTATTGCATTCAGAAAAAAGGCAAGTCAGGATTGATGTATTGTAAGAGAGCATTGAAAATTAGAAAATCTATATATTCGAACAATCATCCGTCGATTGCCGATTCTTATCACAATATGGCATTTGCGTGCGCTGAATTAAAAAAACATAACCTACGATTAAATTACGCGCTCAAAGCTTTAACAATCCGTTTGAATCCGTCAACAGATTTTCAAGACGAATGCGAAATCGTTGACACCTATCATGAAATAAGCAATGCGCATATTTCATTGGGCGATTACCCTTCAGCAGTCCAAACTTTCACCGATGCTCAACAATACACGAATACTGCGGAGCAACTAGCCAATAATTACTTTCATATTGGTAATGTTTACTTTGATTATCTAGAAAATTACGAAACTGCGAAAGATTATTATGAAAAGGCATTAAAGGTATGTAAAGATGCTTCGTTAGAAAACTGGTTTTCCGAAACATATTTGGCCGTAGGTAAAAGTTATCAACGTATAGAAGACGGATCTCTAGCAATGAAAAATTACAGAATGGCACTTTCATATGCAGATGCTGCAGACAATTCGAAATATATCTTGGCAGAAATCCACCATAGTATAGGAACAGTTTACGAAAAAATGGGAAAATTTTCGAAAGCATTAAAAAGATATCATAAAGCCTCATTTTACGGTGTTGAAAACGAATGTTTTTTGGAGGAACTATATCACGACATGGCATTTATATACGAAAACATGGATTCATTTGATGCAGCGATTAAGTATTATAGAAAAGTCGTTAATATTCATGAAACTCACTTGGATGAATGCAATGATCCTGGTTATGCTGCAGAATCCTATATACAAATGGGAGCTCTAGCATCTACAATACTGAACGACGACAAACAATTGATAAAATCTACAGAAAAGTTTTATCTCTATATGAACATTTGGACAATATAGCTATTGCAGATAAGCAGAATCTTTTCATTGCTTATAATAACCTTGGAGATACTTATATGCGCTTAGATGAATATGGAATCGCATTGAAACATTTAGAAACTGCCAGAAAACTTGCTATGGAGATTGGACTCGATGATGAGCATCCACAAGTGATTGAAATTAAAGCTCAAATAACTAGTATTACAGAACAAACACTAACATCGTCAATTTCTAAACACGAAATTGATAAATGTGAATCCTTAACTCAATAATTTCGAGACATAAACATGAATTTTATCACATAAGATTATTAACACATTCGAAGCGATGTGGCCCATCGGTAGACGACGCTGTTTTGTAAGAAGAAACTGTATAGAACAGTATTTTCTTTTGTTGTGGGTGTGGGTGTGGGTGAGGGGGGGGGGGGGGG